TTCAGAGATATAAAAACATATCTAGCATATAAAAAACAAAAGCTACAGCTGTACATCTAATTGAATTATGGAAAGCGAGAGCTGGGAAGAAGCTTAGAGGTCCTCTTCTGCAATCCCTCACGAGTTGTGGTAGGTTGAGAAGGCTGCAAAGTGAGCAGCAGAGCAGGGGCCAGGACCTAGATGTCCTGACTTCTAGATGAAAACTCTTTCCACTCCTCTAGATGATTTACTTGCTAGCAAAATCTAGATCTTTCATTGTCTTTAAGATAATGGATGAATCAGATAGCTGACAAAGTTCATCATTTATCAACTGTGCCCAGGGATTTTCTTAAAAACCATGTTTGTATTCTCCCCCACAGGCCATTCTTAAGATTAGTTTCTTACCTGAGTTTCATCATCAGGATGCTGTATTTGGAGCTGAGTCAGTCTGAACCTGATTTATAGGTGATCATTTAGTAACAATATGCAAAGCAGCTTACGGTTAAACAGAACTGCTTAGTTCTGGTTTCGCTGTTTTTCTCTACCTAATAGGTAGATATGACAACACATAACAGCCCTAAACAGAAAGGAGTGCTTACAAAACTAGGTACTTGTAACAAATTCTTGTCTTTCAAGAATGCCACCCACCATTCATCTGGATTATATGATAATAAAGTTATTTATGGGAAATATCTTTAAGTAATAGTTTCATGTATAAATATTGGTCGATATATTTTTAGATAGAGCGTAACATTGATACTAGGAAGGTCAGTGTGAATTAACATCTTTTTCTTCTTAAACAGACTTTATTTTTTAAAGCAGTTTTGGGCTCACAGCAACATTGAATAGAAAAACCAAAGAGTTTCGTATACTCCCTGCCCTCTACATGCACAGCTATTAACATCCCACACCAAGGCACTTTTGTTAGAACTGAGGAACCCACATTGAAATCATTATCACCCAAGCCCATAGTTAGCGTTAGGGTTCACTCTTGGTGTTATACATTTACATTTTATGGGTTTTGACAAATATATATTAAGGGTACCCACCACTGTGGTGTCTTATAGAATAGTTTCACTGCCCTGAGGAGCCCTGCAGTCTGACTATTCAGCCCTCTCTCTTCCCTAACTAGCAACCACCATTCCTTTTTCTGGTTTTGGCTTTTCTGGAATGTCAGATAGTTGGAATTATACCCTATGTATGTAGCCTTTTCATATTGGCTTCTTTCACTTAGTCATAATCCCTTGATGTTCTGCCATTTCTTTTCATGGCTTGAAAGCTCCTTTCTTTTTAGCACCGAACGATATTCCATTGTCTGAATGTACCACTATTTATTTATCCATTCACCTCCTGAAGGACATCTTGGCGGTTTCCAAGTTTTGGCAATTATGAATAAAGCTGCTATAAACATCTGCGGGCAGGTTTTCGTGTGAGACATAAGATTTCTTTGGGTAATTCCTAGAGTGTGATTGCTGGATCATATATTTATGAGTAGTTTTGTAAGAAACTGCCAGATTTTCTTCTGAAGTTGCGGTGCCATTGTGCTTTCCCACCAGCAATCAATGAAAGTTTCTGTTGCTTCATATCTTTGAGAGCATTTGTTCTGATTTGGGCCATGCTTAATAGGTGTGTAGTGGTATCTCATTGGTTTAATTCGCACTTCCCTGATGACGTGGTAGAGAGTATACACTTATTTGCCAGCTGTGTATCTTCTTTAGTGAGGTTGTCTGTTAAGGACCTGTGCTCGTTTTTAAATTAATTTTTTTGTTTTCTTAGTAAGTTTTAAGTGTTTTTTGTATATTTTGGATAACAGTCCTTTATCAGATCTGTCTTTGGCAAATATTTTCTCCTGACTTGTGGTTTGTCTTTTCCCTGTCTTGACAGTGTCTTTCACAGAAGTTTTAAATTTTAATAAAGTCTAACTTATCAATTATTTCTCTCAAGGATGGTGACTGGTGTTTTATCTAAAAAGTCATCACCATTTAGATTTCCTTTCTAGAAGTTTTATAGTTTTGCATTTTACATGTAGGCCTATGATCCATTTTGAGTTAATTTTTGTAAAGAGCATAGAGTCTGTGTCCAGATTCTTTTTTTTCTTTTTTGTTTTTTTGCAGGTGGATATCCAGTTCTAGCCCCATTTGTTGAAAAGACTGTTTTTTTCTCCATTGTACTGCTTTTGCTGCTTTGTCAAAGATCAATTGGCTACATTTACGTGGGTCTACATCTGTGGTCTCTATTGTGTTCCATGGATCTGTTTATCTATTTTTTTTTTTTCCTGGTTGGTACCACACCGTCTTGATTAGTATAATTTTATAGTAAGTCTCAAAATTGGGCAGTGTCAGTTTTATGACTTCGTAGTTAGTTCTCCTTTAACACCATGTTGCCTACTCTGGGTCTTTTGCCTTTCTGTATAAACTTTAGAATAAGTTTGTTAATATCTACAAAATAACTTTCAAGGATTTTGATTGGGATTGCTTTGAATGTACAGGTAAGTTTGAGAAGAACTGACATCCTGATAATATTGAGCATTTCTATCCACAAACATAGAATACCTCTTTACTATTTACTTCTTTGATTTTTTTTTTAAACCAGAGCTTTGAGGTTTTTTTTTAAATATAGATTGTATATAGATTTTGCTTGATTTATACCTAAGTATTTCATTTTGGGGTGCGAATATAAATGCTGTTATTTTTAATTTCAAATTCCAGTGCTGGTATATAGGAAAGTCATTTTTTTATATTAACCTTGCATCCTTGCCATAATCACTTATTAGTTCCAGCTTTTTTTTATTTAAGAGACAGAGTCTCACTTTATCACCCACAGTAGGGTACTGTTGCATCACAGCTCACAGCAACTTCCAGCTCTTGGGCTTAGGCAATTCTCTTGCCTCAGTCCCCCAAGTAGCTGGGACTATAGGCGTCTGCCATAACGCCCAGCTATTTTTTGTTGCAGTTTGGCTGGGGCAGGGTTTGAACCTGCCACCCTCAGTATATGGGGCCAGTGCCCTACTCACTGAGCCACAGGAGCTGCCCATTAGTTCCAGCTATTTTTTCAACTCTTTGGGTTTTCTACAGACAACCATGTCATCTATAAAGATTTTTTCTTCTTCTTTTTTCAGTTTTTGGCCAGGGCTAGGTTTGAACCCGCCACTTTCAGCATATGGGGCTGGCACCCTACTCCTTTGAGTCAAAGGTGCCGCCCATATAAAGTTTTGTTTCTTCCTTCCCAATCTGTGTACCTTTTATTTCCTTTTCTTGTCTTATTACTTAAGCTAGAACTTCCAGTAAAATGTTGAAGAAGAGTGGTGACAGAAGATGTCCTTGCCTTGTTCCTGACCTTAGTGGGTTAGCAGCTAGTTCCTCACCATTAAGTGTGATGTTAGCTATAGATTTCTTGTGGATATTATTCATTAGGTTGAGGAAATTCCACTTTATTCCTAGTTTGCTGAGTTTTTATCATGAATAGAGGCTGGGTTTTGTCAAATGCCTTTTCTGTATCTATTGTTATGATCGATGTGATTTTTCTTTAAATGAAATGTATATTATTTTTGAATGTTAAACTTGTCTTGCTGGGATAAATCCCACTTGGTTATGTCGAACCTAAATTTTTTCTTTTCATTTTTTTGAGATAGTCTTACTTTGTCACCCTGGGTAGAGTGTCATGGCATCATAACTCTCAGCAACCTCAAACTCTTAGACTCAAGAGATCTTCTTGCTCAGCCTCCCAAGTAGCTGGGACTATAGGTGCCCGCCACAACACCTGGCTAGTTTTTCCATTTTTAGTAGAGCCAGGGTCTCACTCTTAGCTCAGGCTCACCTCCCAGAATGCTAGGATTACGGGCATGACCCACCACACCATGCCTTTTTTTTTTTTTTTTTTGAGACATTGTCTCACTCTATTGCCCAAGGTTAGAATGCCATGGCATCAGCCTAGTCACAGCAACCTCAAACTCCTGGGCTCAAGCAATCTACACCAGCCCAATTTTGTTGTTAATATTATCAGGTTTGGCCAGGTACAGTGGCTCATACTTGTAACCCCAGCAGTCTGGGAGGCTGAGGTGGGAGAATCACTTGAGCTGATGAGTTTGAGACCAACCTGAGCAAGACCAAGACCCTGTCTTGAAAATTGAAAATTGAAAAATTTGAGCGAAAAAAATCGAAAAATTTGGCTTGGTGCCTGTGGCTCAAGTGGCTAAGGTGCCAGCCACATACACCTAAGATGGCAGATTCGAATCCAGCACAGGCCCACCAAACAACAATGACAGCTGCAACCAAAAAATAGCCAGGCATTGTAGCGGGTGCCTGTGGTCCCAGCTACTTGGGAAGCTGAGGCAGGAGACTCACTTGAGCCTAGGAGTTGGAGGTTTCTGTGAGCTGTGATGCCACGGCACTCTACCCAGGGGGATAGCTTGAGGCTCTGTTTCAAAAAAAAAAAAAAAAAAGAAAAATTAGCCAGTCATTATAGCATTTGCTTGTAGTCCCAGCTACTTGGGAGGCTGAGGCAGGAGGATGACTTGAACCCAGGAGTATGAGGTTGCTATGAGCTAGGCTGATGCTGTGGCATTCTAACCGCGGGCAACATGCCACTCTAGTCTGGGCAACAGAGTGAGACTGTCTCAATACAAAACAAAACAACAAAATCAATAATCTTAGGCTAGATTTGTGGGTACTAAGCAACCCTCCCCCTTTAAAACTCAACAGTAATAGATCCTAAATCTTCATTCTTATGAATTTAATATAATTCCAATATAATTTTTACCAACAATTTCTTAGAACGAGCATTCCTCAGTAATTTTAAATCTTTCAATTTAACACAACATTCGTATGCTTTTCAGAGACTCACCTAAGAACTGATAGTCTCTCTTTCTCTCTGCACATGCACAGATAATTTAGTACCAATGTTTTATGATTAGATTGATATAAAACAATAGTCTCATAAGATGGTACGAAATGTCTGTTTCTTCAAGCTCATGATATAGCAAAAGTGACAGGAAAAAAAAATCTGGGAGACGTACACTGATAGATGTTTCAAAAATTATTTTTATTGTTACATTCCAAAGAGGACATAAGAAGAAAAAAGCCAGTTATCCAATAACTGTTATACCTTTCAGAGAGAGGCACCCAGAACCCTAGTCCTAGTTCAAAGCCGCACACACAGGAGCTCAAATAGCTGCCTCTTGACACAGCTGGAAATGCTGACAAATGTGTGTGTATGTTAAATCCAGGGAGGCTTGGGTTTAAAAGACTATTTCCTTATTGCCAGTTTCCAAGTCCTTAGGATTTGTCCTTAAAGATACTAGAAGAAGATGAGAAAGCCCATACACACCAAGACTATGTTTAGTCATTAGAGTAAACTAGCAAATGGCCAGTTCGTTCCAGGATGCATTGCATCAGACATCACAGTACATGAAAAAATGTGCATTTTGTTAAGAGCCATCAGGCATTGCATTTCCAGTTTACCATGAAGTGCAGCCACGGGCCAGCCAGATACCTAGATAATATAGTGCAAAAGTCAAATGGTAGTCAGCGCTTTGATGAGGCTGGCTATACTGCAGAAGATAAACCAAACTTGAAAATAGAAGGTAAGGTCTATTTACAAAAGTTTGTTTAGTAAAGTGACTTGAAAAAAGTTGTTAAGCACTTCCCAGGCATCCCTCCCTCTCCCACCAAAAGAAGAAACACCTGAAAATTATCTTGAAAATCAAGTTAAAACAGTGTGGTGAAAAAGAGAGTGCTTGTTCCAGGGTAAAGGACTTCAAGATAATTTACAGGTAAATTTATTTTTATTAGTAAAAGTCACAAATAGGAAAAGGTTTATTGGCTGACACTGAGCTGTGTGCTTTTAAAAATGTCCCTATTAATATGTTAACAAGAAAAAAAAACACTAAGCACATTTTTTTGCTTCCAGTTTTGATTCTTCCAGTAATAGTTGGTAAAATTAACAGGGTATTAAAACAAAACCCAAGAAAACTCAAGTTCATTTTTTTCCAGTTGTCTGCCTTGTTTCTTTCCAGTCACCTTGAATTTGATTCCTAATTAGCTGAGAACAACATGTCGGTCAAAGACAGATTTTCTCTGCTCTTGAACTTGAAGCTTCCAGCGCTGCTGGGCGTACTCAACCTTGTTCAGCACATTGGCACGACTGCGGGAACGGGCCAGCACATCGTGGGCATTTGCAAAAGGCTGGTGATCCTGAGTGTCCAGGAATGGAGAACATTAGAGATGGCATGGTCAGTATAAAATACGTACACAAAATAGCAGTTAGTTTACCACAGAGACAGGAGCAGGTGGACTTTTCAAATAATGGAGCATCTATTTGGCTAAGCACTCCTAGGCAATCAACTATCAGGAGTAGGATGAACTCAATTATAGAAAAAAGTGGTTCAGGAAACATAAGTGATGAGGGAGTATTTCCATGGGTCACCATTTCCAAAGATATTTCCCTTAAGAACCAGAGACCAAGTCAAAGACAGTGGTCGTTTGTGTTAGAGAGAAGTCTTCCCTGATATGGAAACTAGGGTCTTTCTTTTCTGTTTTCAATACTTTATAGCTAATCTGTGGCAGAGGAAAGGTATGTCTTTTAATTTCCTGAGTCTATTATATTAGAATCATTTATTCACCAGCTTGAGCCACATTCTTTCTGGGAGATCAGTTTACAAGGTCATATCTTGGTTTGTTTCAATCTTTCCTTGTACCCTCAACTCATACACGAAATGGGCTAGTTTCGAAAAGCTTTCTTGTTTCCCATCTTACCCAATCTATAATTGAAAGAGACACAGCTCAACTGCTATAATTATCCTCTATTACCATGGACAATAAGGAATTATTTACTTCACCATCTCTATTATACATACTTCTTCCACTGCTAAGCCCTCAAATGCTTTCATGCAAGTTGCTGCATTAGGAAAGAGGCTATTGAAGGGTTACCTAGGTATCTGTGTAGGAAACCCGTCTACCTTAGTCAAAGTAAACCAATGCAACTGGATGTTTGCAGTCATTACACAGGAAACCACCATGCTAATCTAACTATGAACAAGATATAAACACAGCTGCCTAAATGACAAAAAGCATTCAATAGTAATTTATTGCTTTTGTTTGCCTTTTCCTTGATCTCTTTTTCCTGAACTCCATGTTCCAAATGTTTCAACATAAGATCCAAGTCACAAGTGGTACCTTTTAAACTAAGCTTTGCCTCTAGGACAGAAAATTGTTTTGCTAGGCATATTTGTAAAAGCTGTATTATATAATCCAGGGCAGGAGTGAGCATGTAGGTGGAAATCTATATATAACCACATAACTATATACACAACTATAATGATATAGTGTTCTAACACCTGCTCGTTTTCTATACAAGACATTTGTACAATGTTTACATTTTTTTTTTTTTATTTTTTTTTTTTGAGACAGAGCCTCAAGCTCTCCCCCTGGGTAGAGTGCCATGGCATCACGCTCACAGCAACCTCCAACTCCTGGGCTCAAGCGAGTCTCCTGCCTCAGCCTCCCAAGTAGCTGGGACCACAGGCGCCCGCCACAGCGCCCGGCCATTTTTTTTTTTGGTTGCAGCCATCATTGTTGTTTGGCGGGTCCGGGCTGGGGATTCGAACCCACCACCTTAGGTGTATGTGGCTGGCGCCTTAGCCGCTTGAGCCACAGGCGCTGAGCCACAATGTTTACATTTGAAAGACATCAAAGAGTTTTCTATAAAGAATTTTCCCTTGTCTTCTTTACCAAGATTCCCTCAACTTTTCACTGAATTTAGGCAATATAGGCTATATAAACCACATTTATTTTCAATTAATTAATTTTTTTTTTTTTGAAGGACAGGGTCTTGCTATGCTGCTCAGGCTGGAGTGCAGTGGTTATTCACAGTCATGATCATTGTGTACTATAGCCTTGAATTCCTGGGCTTAAGCAATTCTCCTGCCTTAGCCTTCCAAGTAGCTGGTACTACAGCACTTTTAAATTTTTAATCTTACAAATGAAAATAATAAAGAGAATTCCATCAAGTTAAAAATGTGTCCAAGATGTAAGGAAGAATGTAAGGAAAGAGGAAGGAGATTGAATTTGTAGGACTGATTTCCCATAAGGAAATAAACTGATGCAAGGTCATTTAACAAATTAGCACAAACACTAAAACTTCAATTAACCTTGACTTTATGTTGTATCTTCTCAAAACACAGATTTTGCTCAGGAAGATTAAAAGGACACTCTAGGAATATGGTGCTTCAATGAAATTGTATATAAAATACTATCTCCTGAGTTAAAGATCGGGGGTGGGGAGGAATACCACCATTGGTTTGTTTTGACATAAACAATACTGGGAAGTAGGATGTACTTTATCAGTAGAGCACCTCTCAGTTTCACAGTCCTGTTATCTACTCTTCAAGGTGGGAGAGACAAATCTTCTTAAGGGACAAATTCAAAAGACTAAACAAACCAGTTAATCCTTTGTGGCTGTTCTCCACCTATCAGAACAAGATTGAACTAGCTGCACATGGTCACAGATGCTGGGAGAATGCAAATAAGAGATTTACCCTTTTTGTATGTTTGTTCTTTTTACACCTGATAAAATTACAATAAATACAAAACATGTTTTAATGTAATGCTTTGAAAATAATGATGGTGTGTCATGGACAAATGATATAGTAAATATTGTGACTTCTTGCAATGAGCTTCCTAACTATTTGTACTAAAAATGCTCTACACAGAACAAAAATGGAAAAAATGAAAACTGAGAATGCAACAAAAGCATTTTTTAAGCACATAAATAGTAAATAACTCACATCTTGGATAAGCAACAACTATAGGAATTTAAATTCAACTTCTTTTTGTACAGAGTTATTACCATAAATTTATAGGTTTGGTCAGAAGATCTCTCTCTACCCAGAATCAGTTTAACAGGTATGGAAGAGTTAGAGGAGTCAGTCAGGCCTCTCAGAGACAGTGTTCTCAAATGATCAACATTGAGGCAGAAACAGTCACTGGTGGGCAAAAACAATTACTGACCACATGACCCTGCCAATCAAATGCCTACCCTATGTGTTTTTTACATCCATTTCCTTCATGTTAAAGATACTGTATAGTCTATTTCTGAAATCAGGAACATATTAATGAAGTAAAAGATGTTGTTTAAATAAGACTTTCACCCAACCTATCTGACTATAATAAAATGGCTTATGTGGCCTTTGATACACAACATTCTCATATGTCAGTAGTTCTCAAATGGGGGTGATTTTGCATGCCCCTTCAGGGATATTCAGCAATATTTGTGGACATTTCTGATTGCCATTATTGGGATGGAGGGTGATACTGGTCTCCAGTGGACAGAGGTCAGGGATGCTGCTAATTATTTTACAATGTACAGGATAGCACCCTCCTTCCATAACATAGCATCATTTGACCCCAAATGTCAAGGTTGTGAAACTCTGAATATGTGAATGAAAATGAACATGGAAACAGTATTTGAGACTCTAATGTTCCTAATACACAACCTCCTGTCCTTGCAGCATTCTCAGCCATTAGTCCCAATATGCCTGTTTTTTGACTACACTAAATCTCTGGTCTTTTGTCCCAGCCTATCAATCTCCTCCTGTACTTTTTGAAAATAAATATGTGTTTCTTATATGATTAAAAATAAAAATGAGAAACACATTATTATTAGTCATTTCTTTCACACATCTGTTTCTGTTTTATATATCTCTGTATTCCTAGTACCCAGCATAGTACCTGCCATAGAAAAGTTTACTAATATTATATTGTTTAAGTTAATAAATAGCAAAGGAAAAAGAGGGAGAAGTATTTTTATGAAAGTTCTTAACTAAAAAAATTAAATCTTGACCAAATGAGTATCTGTCATTGATATTCATGAGACAACAGTGTGTTGTTCAAAAAGCAAGCTCTGTTTCTAGTTATAACTAAAGCCATCTAGTCATGATGACCCCCTTTCCCATCTCTGACTAATAGGTCCACAAGCTATTCCAGAGGAAGTAAAAAGACTTTTTTTTTTTTTTTTGAGACAGAGCCTCAGCTGTCCCCCTGGGTAGAGTGCCATGGCATAGCTCACAGCAACCTCCAACTCCTGGGCTCAAGCGAGTCTCCTGCCTCCGCCTCCCAAGTAGCTGGGACCACAGGCGCCTGCCACAATGCCTGGCTATTTTTTTTTTTTTCGGTTGCAGCCATCATTGTTGTTTGGCAGGCCCGGGCTGGATTCGAACCCACCACCTTAGGTGTATGTGGCTGGTGCCTTAGCCACTTGAGCCATAGGTGCCGAGCCAGGAAAAGGACTTCTGACTGTGACTAGCAAAGGTTCACTACAGGTTTGGCTTTTGGAATTGATTCTTGAATCTATCTATACTGGACCCCTGAGCTGGGCTGCTCACAAAACTGTACTGAATTTTATTCACTTTAAAGAACATAGTACAATAAAATAATCTGGAATAAAAAGCAATTTCTAAGAAAAATTATATATAATAATGAAATAATGGAAAATTCAGAACAGTTCCAAATAGGATAATAGTAAGACGATATAATTCTGAATATCAAGTTTGTGGACTATGTCAATTTCTGGACATTTTTGAATAAAGTAATGTTAAAAACAAAAAAAGATCATGAAACAATTTATATATTAATTATTTATGTACAAATATAAATTTGTTTTTAAAGACAGTAAGAGAGGCTGGCTGCAGTGGTTCACGCCTATAATCCTAGCACTGTGGGAGACCAAGGCTGGTGGATTACTTGAGCTCACACATTTGAGATCAGTCTGAGCAAAAGTGAGACCCTGTCTCTACTAAAAATAGAAAAAACTGAGGAAAGAGGATCACTTGAGCCTGAATTGGAGGTTGCTGTGAGCTATGACGCCACAGCATGCTACCCAGGACAATAGCTTGAGACTCCGTCTCAAAAAAAAAAAAAGATAGGAAGATAATCTAGAGTGATAGTTTTATTTTTAGTTAGAGTCAAAGATTACAGATTTCTTTTAAGCAGTAAAAAAAAAAAAGAAGAAAGAAAATATAAAACATTGCAGGTTATCAAGCTATGGTTCACTAAGAAAAGCATGTCTTGTTTTCATGCTTCCCTTCACTAAAACCACTCTGCCTTCTAAAATATTTGATGATACTGACAGGAAAGGTGTTTTAGACAGGAGCTTGAGAAGCAAACTATCTCAGATGCTTTTGTTTCAGTGTAAACAGGGAAAGGCAATGAAAATTTTGTCTTTGGTACTGAGGGCAAGGCCTTCTATTCACCAAATGCATTTAGATCATCAGTTCAGAACACCACATTTATGGCTTTATAACATAGAGCAGTTTCCTCATACAGAAACGCATACTAAAATTAGAACTATCTTTAGCTTCCCTAGTTGAGGATCTGCTGCTGTGTGTGAACATCTATAAGCTATTTTCCACCTGCCCTTTATATTAGATGATGACAGACACTGGTCACATGCAGCCTGTAGGCAGAGAACTTACCCCAACATCGTCATCACTCTGTATCAATTGTGAGTGTCCAAAGAGGCGTCTCTTCAGTATGGGCTCAACCAGAGTAAGATACACCATGTACAGAAGTAGAAGGCCCAAAATAGAGAGATAGATTATAATGGTAACCTAAAGAAAATGGAAAATCAGTTATATCTCTCAGTATCAATTTGTGGTGTAAGTCATGTCTCTCTTCAAGCCAAGAAACAAGAATTTTGTGTGTTGATGGTACAGCAGACTGATTATCTGCTAAGCCTATAGAATTTCTATGCAAACCAGATACTAACATAAGAAACAAACTCTTCACCAAAGTATTAAAGACAAAGAGGCAAGAAAACTTTTTGCCTTTAGAATCCCATTTTGAGTCTTCAAAATTCCATCTTCACCTACTGCTAGTCACTTGTCACCAATGCTAGCACAGCAGGTTTCTTTTTTCAAAAGAACACAGTGTCCTAGATTTAGTGGCACTGCTGCCAAAACAACTTAAAGGAACCCCAACAGAAAATGTAATTCAGGTGAACTTTAACAGAATATTCTTTTAGATCAATTTAGATATACAAAAATACTTTCTAAGCCAGAGATTTTCTTGAGATCTTAATTCATGAGCTGACAAAAAGTATATACCCACTAGAATGGCCATAAAGTCATAAATAGACAACACCAAATGTTGGCCAATGGTTGGTATGGAGAAACTGAGCACTTACATACATTGCTGGTGGGAATGTAAAATGGCATAATGTAACCACTTTGGAAAATAATCAGACAGGCTCTGAAAAAGTTAAACATAAATGTACCGTTCTAAGGAATTTACCTGAAAGAAACAAAAACATATATCCACACAAAGACATGTACGCAGATATTCATGATAGTATGATAATAGTAAAAATCTGGAAAGAACCCAAGTTGTTAAATAACCCTATCAATTAATAAGTGGATATTAATAGAATACTATTCAGCAATGAAAAGGAATGCAGGCTGGGCATGCTGGCTCAAGCCTAGCACTCTGGGAGGCCCAGGCAGGAGAGTCACTTGAGCTTAAGAATTTGAGACCAGCCTGAGCAAGAGCAAGCCCCCATATGTAGTAAAAATAAAAAGACCAGTGAGGCACTGTGTTGGGTGCTTGTAGTCCCAGGTACTCGGGAGGCTAAAGCAGGAAGATTGCTTGAACCCAGGAGTCTGAGGTTGCTGTGAGCTAGGCTGATGCCACGGTACTTCAGCCTGGGCAACAGAGTGAGACCCTGTCTCTACAACAACAACAGACAAAGGGATGCAGTACTGATACATGCCACCATTTGGATAAACATTATATTAAGTGAAAGAAGCCAGGCACAAAGACCACACTGTCATCCCACTGTAAATGGGCATGATCTCTTTGGGGTGATGGGAATGTTCTAAAACTGGATTTCAGAAGTTTAAAATTTATTAAAATTTATAGAATTACACACTTATAATGAATGACTATTACGGAACATAAATTATATTTCAAATGTCTGTTAGAAAAATAGTACAGTGAAGATTTCTCTATAGTGTAGCACCTATTGGAACAGGAGCTCTCTCACAAGGTCAATCACAGCAGAAATCTTTGTGATTATTATTATAATTGTCCACCACCACAGATTCTCCCACAAAGCCCTTTGGGGGGAAAGAAATGGAAAGTGGCATATAAAAGAAATTAGCCAAGAACCATTAGTTTAATAATAAAGTAACTAAACTCATTAGAGATCCAAATAATGATAAGAGTTATCAGCATTTCATTTCCTACAAGAAATAAAGAAGGAAATCTTAAAATCCAGAAGTGATGTTTCTAGAATAGTTACTACAGATTAATTTTTCCAAGGTTTAAGAGGGCAGGAGGAAGAGAGCTTTATCATGCAGCTTTGGCGTACAGGCCCATAGGGAAGCTGGGGTATTTTTCTGGAATATGCCAATTATAATTATAGGGTATTTTCACATATCTATCTAACATATCCTAATTAATTCACAAAACATTTTAGTGTAGCATGCAGAGAGCAAGCCCATTATTTCTTTTGGGGTAGGGATCTAAATTTTTTTGTTTCATCTAGAGACCAAGTAGAAGCAGAAAAGAGATACACACACACATTTTTTTTACCTTGATTGTCACAGAGCTTCGTTCCTCATATTTGCATTCACAGCGTAGACAATATGCTTCTACATCAGGCCCCCGCACAGGCATGGGATCCACAACATGAAGGCAATCGCTGTAAAAACAAAGTTAAAATTACTGCTTAAGCCTGGCTGGGATTAAAACGTGCAAGGATCAAAACTTTCCTGAAATCCAGATTAATCACTAAATTTATCCAATGAAAGAATATAAGGAACAAATAATCAATAAGTTGGACAGTGCTGGGGGCTCAGTGAGTAGGGTGCCGGCCCAATATACTGAGGGTAGCAGGTTCAAACCAGGCCCTGGCCAAACTGCAACACCAAAAGAAATAGCTGGGCATTGTGGCAGGTGCCTGTAGTCCCAGCTACTCAGGAGGCTGAGGCAAGAGAATCGCCTAAGCCAAAGAGCTGGAGATTGCTGTGAGCTGTGATGCCATGGCTGTACCGAAGGCAACAAAGTGAGACTCTGTCTCTAATAAAAATAATAATAATAATAATAATCTCCACTGACAGAATTTCAAATAAGAGTAAAGTCCTATAACCTACAGCATAAAAGTGTGAGACCTACAAACATATAGAAGACCAGGCGTGTATCTAACTGGATTCAGGCATAAAATGGGCAGAGGAAACTAATCCCAGAACAGGGGCTATCTATCTCAGAATCAAAGAGGTCATCCAGCCCAACACTTAGAGAAGTCACCTGCACAAGGTCACAGAGCAAATTAGTAGCTGAAAAAGGACCAGAATCCAGGACATTGGCCTTCTAGGCCAGCCTCCCTTTATCTCTCTGAACCTCAGGAAAATGAGACTGATTTCCTTTTCAGTTTCCTATTTCAGCTTCAGGAGCCTCAGCAATAATACCTAAGGATTACTTGGGAATCTAAGTGCTGAGTAAGTATTGAGTGTGTCTTTTGAAGGACAAACACATTTTAGTAACAACACGGAATTGAGTGCTTTGCAAAAGTCATGCAGGGCTAAGAGGAAGCAGGAAGGTTGGTTCTAGCTGACCAACAATTATAAACAGAGATAGACCTATATAAAGCTCAACCACTTTAGGAACTAGACAACACCTCCCCCTAGTGCCAGAAGGAAGACATTATTGGTTTTAAACTACAAACCAGAGTTGTCTAACTGAAGTTATTAAGTCAGCCAGCATAAGTCAATGAAGAACGAAAGCTAACAACTGGACAAAATGAGAAGCCTAGAAAATAGCAGGTAAAAATATATCTCGGGTCTCACAGATAATGGAAACCTCATAAAGCCATAATGTCCTGGTTGATCATAACTTGCTTGCCCTTCTAAAATCAGACAAAATTTTTTAGTGCCAACAGGGAACCTACCCCCAGTAAAAAGCTAAGGTTCAGGAAGGAAGCAAGGGAGAATGGGAGGAAAGGAAGAAATATCCCAAAAAAGACTTGTTTTCAACTGTTTATTTTCAGTTTTCCTATTTTGACCAATAAGCAGGGATGAATGACATATGGTTCTGTCTAAGCCTTGAAATGAACAAAAAGCTAGTGATGATATTAGTGCTAAACACTTAAAGAATGAATTCATTTTCCACTCAAATGATATGCATCTCATTCTACTGCTTATAATAATAGAATAAACTGATTGTAAGTGTTTAATATATTTAGAAAATATATAGAAGTAACTTAGGCCAGGTGCAGTGGCTCATGCCTGTAATCCAAGGTGAGTGGATTGCTTGAGCTTACAGGTTCAAAACCAGCCTGGGCAAGAGTGAGACTAAAACTAGAAAAACTAGCCGGGTATCATGCCTATAGTCCTAGCTATTCAGGAAGATGAGGCAAGAGGCTCTCTTGAGCTCAAGAGTTTGAGGTTGGTGGTGTGAGCTATGATGATGCCATGGCACTCTACCCAGAAAATGGAATGAAACTTTGTCTCAAAAAAAAGAAGTAACTTAAAAGGCACAGTAGTATGTGTCTGTGTTCTGGTTACTAAGAAGCCTGAAACAGGAGGATCGCTTTAGGCCAGGAACTTGAGACTAGCCTGGGCAACATAATGAGACTCCATCCCAAAAAGAAAAGAAGATTTACTTGTACTTTCTTATATCAGTAACTTCCTGATATAAAACCTATAAGATTATAGCCAAACCAACTGATAATAATAAACTATTAAAGGTAGAACATGGAATTTCACAAGAAGTTCTCAAGAATACACTTACCAAAAATCAGACTGAACCTAAATGTGTATCATGGGAAGAACAGAGAATGACATCAGAAAAACTAAATGCACTCGGAGGCTGCCTTTGCTTTTTCAAAGTCAGGTTGGAATATCATTAAATGAATTTAATCTTGCTTTCAAACTCGTTGATGACTATTTAGCTGTCAAATTAAATACATGTAAAATTTTCTGGCATTTGGAACTATTTTTCTTGGATTCTTATTCCATCAATCTTTCACTGTGATTACAAAGCATGAAACATCATAATTCCATGAGATGGAGCACATTAGTCCTGCTATACCACAATTGCTTTCCAACTGTTTCATGACATATGTAGAAAAAGCTATCATTTGCAAGGTCCACTGGGATAAACAGAGAAGGCTGTTAGTGGCTAAAGTCAGTCAGGATCCCACTTATCACAGGCCTCCTTGATTGTCCCAGGGCTTAAGGGATTAACAACTTGGAAACCTATAATGTATTCATGCACACCAAATGGGAAATGCTGATATACATAGCTCATTCCCATTCCTTCTTGAGCCTTCTGACACTTTTAAATATAGCCTCCCATACATAGCAACGTTAACACCAAAACCTACAAGTTGTAAAAATTATAACCCAGATAAAGGAGGCTTGCTTATCTTCCACTAAAAAGCAAGAGGGAGAAAAATTTCTCACCAAAACTTAAAGGGGGCACACAAAGGTATCCATGGGTAGTTTAGGTGCCATATACCCAGTCCCATGCCCCCAAGAACCCCTGCCCACCTGGGCTTAGTGTTTTGGCTATAATCCTTTATGCTTGCATCATGCTCTCAAGGCCTTCCTCTCAGTCTTTCAAATAGAAATACAATTTGACATTTTTCCTTAAAAAGAAATAAAAAAAACTATACATTGGATGAACATTCTGGACTAACAGTGACAAACACAGAAAGAAATCTGACAGGAAATTTGATAATCCAGAATACTTACCAATCTTTCTGGGATATGTTCTTATTATAAATATGCCCAGAATTTTCCTTATAGGGAGGACAGATACATTTACACCGGACATCCTCGAAATTCTGTAACCAAAATGGAAACTCAATATAGTCTGTTGACAGTTTACCATTAGTAATTTTATTTTATTTTTATTTTTTTTACCATCAGTATTTTTTAAAAGTGCACCATACACATTTTGCTAAGCATTCCCTGATATCTCAAAACCATTCATTTTAAACCTTTTAACTTTGAGAGATAAAAGTTTTTAAAAGCCATGAGTCCTTTATGGTAATGCTAATAAGTCAATATATATTACACAAAGTTATTTACCCTGGGTAGAGTACTGGGGCATCAGCCTAGCTCACAGCAACTCAACCTTGGGCTCAAATGATCCTCTTGCCTCAGCCTCCCATGTAGCTAGGACTATAGGCACCCACCATAATGCCTGACTAGTTTTTTCTATCTTTAGTAGAGATAAGGTCTCACTCTTGCTCAGGCTAGTTTCCAACTCCTGAAATCAAGCAATCCACCCTCCTTGGTTTCCCAGAGTTCTAGGATTACAGGTGCAAGCCACCATGCCCAGCCCACAGTTATTTAAAAATAATACCTACTACATAGATGGGTTATGTGACAATCAAATTATGTTAATGTTATCACTACCTATTTGTCAATAGGAGGACACATATAGTACAGAGATAGCTGTGCCTATAAATAAGAATCCTGATGATGATTTTAAAAGGATGGAAAAGAGCAAACTAAAATTTATTCACAAAAAGTTATGATTCTTGTACCTACTAACCTTCACCCTTTGGTAGAAAGATATAAAAGGGGTCGGGCCACAGGCCTATAAAAGGGTGAAGTTTTAGAGGCATCCAGCTTAAACTAGAATGGAAGTACATAGGACAGTTCCTTGATTCTACTGAGATCGGATTGGTCTACCCTTCCCAATTCTGCTTCTTATTTCCTGGTTGACAGAAAGGACATCTGACAACAACAACTATCAACAGAAGAATTGTCAAGAGGTAGAGGAAAGAGTGACTAAATACTGGATAGAGAGAACAGGAGATGCTTCTTCAGCAGAGGGGAATCTATTTGAGGTGACAGTGGCTCATTGGTCTCCAGAGGACCATGCCCACTGCTCCTGTATACAGTGATACATCTGGCAGAGCTGTTAACAATTCATAAACTATTCAGCAGCCACTTAGTGAGCATTTGCTCTGCGCCAGATCGCCTGCTCAATGTGGTAGATTCAGATAAGACATGGTTCTGATCCACCGTTAGGACACACCCTGGTAAAGGAGACTGACAAATATGTGATCACAAAAGACTACATAAAGTGGTGAAGGGAGATATACAGAGGGCACCAGCAATGTTTTGAAAGGAGATTTGCTGGTGTGCTTATTTCTGGTGGAAAGTAGGGAAGGTTTAAAAAAAACAAAACAAAACAACTCTTATCAAAAACATTTGCCTGCCTGTAAACTATCTTTCTCAGGCCCTATATTTACAGACATGATAGATTAAAGTTCTTATTTTTAAAAAATGCAACGTCATTCTGTTTTCCCATAATTCCAATGTGAATTCCTTCTGTTTCTCTCCCAAATGAGCTAGCTCATCAAAGAGGAAGCACAAGTGTGCAAAGGGCGAGGGAACGTCTGGAGAGAAGGGGCACCAAAAAGGAGTAGGAGGGGACTAGAAGAGTTAAGAAATGGAATCTGGGAGAAGGCCACAATGTCACCTCCTTTATAGTTTGGTTCTTCCCTTACTACTACATTATCAGGAGGAGAGAAGGCAACAAAAGGACCAAGAGTGGTTGAGGGAGTTAGATGAGAACATTAAGCTGGTGAGAGGTACTTTGTAGGTTCTACTGAGAGGGAAGCCTGCCAGGAGGGGTAAGTTCCCACAGTGAGAAGAGAATATGTTCAGATATGATGAGTTAGTCCCTAATAGGGAAGATTTCTGTCAGATAGGGCTTCCTATCATTTGGCTTGCGGAATATGGGGGCCCTGTGAGGCGGGTGGAGGGCGGGGGTAGGCTGCGCTTAAGGGCAGAAAGTTGAAGTTACAGACTATCAGAGTTGAAAAGGTTGTAAAGTTTGAGGTGGGTGCTGTCGGGGTGGGAAGGGAAATGTCAAGCAGGTGAGGAGTTGCTGTCCCAACCGTGGGCACTGTGGGGGCGGTGATGTCCCGGCCGCCGAGGGCTGAGGGCGAGAGTTACCAGGCAGTCGCGAGGCTTAGCGGTGGGGGTCTGGCAGGGCTGTGAAGCCAGGGGTCCGGAGGTCAGGGCTGGGAGAGGAAGGAGGAGGGCAGCAGGTGGGCAGACCTCGTTTCCGCACGGCCAGAAGCAGGGGAGGAGCTCCCGTCAGGAGCGAAGGCTGGGCGGAACTCACCTTGGCGGCGTCTGACAGCTGCACCAGCAGCAGCACGGAGAGCGCCAGGCACGACAGGCTGAGCAGGGAGCCGAGCCGAAGGAGGCCTCCCCACAGAGTCGCCATCGCTGCCAGGCCCGGCCGTCCCTGCTGCCCAGAGCCCCCGAGACCTGCTCCGGGGTCGGGCTCAGCTCGGGATCCTCCACCTGCACTTCCGTCTGGGCCTTCGCGTCACTGGCGCGCGGGGTCAGATGCAAAAAGCATCCGCCCCGGAAACGGTTCTCAGAGCGTAGGGCCTGGAGGCTGCGTGGTCCCGGCGCCCGGCCCGGCCTACACTCCCAGCTGGAACGTCAGGGGGCCTCCCTGGGGTGTCAGCTTGGGCCCCGCGGAGTTTGGAGGCTTGTATGGCTTCCCCGGGTGCGGAAGCAGAGGGGCATGGTGGAACCTCCAGTGCGATGGAAAGTTCCCCCGTCCCGGGGGACTCCTGCGAGCTCCGGGTGTCAGATGGGGGCTTCCAGCGGCCCTTGGAGGGCTGGAGCCGTAAGATGCCGGACCTCATCCCGGCCGGCACTGGCAGGGCGCCTGCTAACCTGGAGACAGACGGGACTAGCCGAGCCATCTTTTTCCCGGTAGCTTACCCGGAGCTAGAAGGGCAGGAGTTGTCTCTGCACTTTAGGTACTAACCTGTCGCCCACGCGCCTCTTGAACAGGACTCCCCGCTGGGTTTCTGACGGTCTCTGTGAGCTGCCCTCGTGGGTGTGGCCTCCCCTTGGACCAGCCTGCAGCTAGGAAGTGGGTCACAGCGGCGGGGCTAGACTGGCCCGGCCCAGGCTAAGCTCCGGAAGATGTGGAGTTGGCGAAAGTACCGCCCCAGTCGTATCCGCAGCCCAGGACTCCAGAAGGTGGGGAATCGGCGCTGTGGCCTGGCGAGGCAGTGCAGTGCGTATTCAAGAAGGCTGACCCCTAAATCAGGATTAGGGAAGCACTGACCGATCTTCCCAGGACTATCATTCTCTGTAGGTACTATTGAAGTACCCTGGAGATGGCGTAACATCTCCCATTAAAATATTTTGCAGTCAAGACTCATCACAGCCACTAAAGATTTGCTGAATGACTTTGGGCAAATTATTTCCCTTTTCTGGACCTCTAGGTCTGATTTAATAAGGGGATTGAACTCTGTGGATTTCACATTCTCCCATTTAATACTTGTGTTACTTTCTCTGAACATATTTTTAAAGATGGTCTTTTCCTAGTTTGTGGAAATATTTTAGTTAACAGAATTTTCTCAGTATGAGAAGTCACATTTTCCATGTGATTCTTATTGATGCTAGAATCTAACACAAGAAGGTGTATGATGTTGCACCAAGTACATTTAGCCCCTTTCAGTCCCAATTGGGAAGTGACACCTGCCCCAACCAGAACCGAAGCAGCAGGGTTAGATGCCCTCCCGTTTGGCTGCCCTGTGAAGATGCTGTCACTTGGTGAATTATCAAGTCTTTATAGTAGGTGTTCGCTGGCCAGAGGACAGTCTAGAGACACTCTGGGTCTAATGTGTCATTGAGATACTGTAGAACTGATTAAAAGCTGATGGAGCACAAGTTAGGGATCAGTTTATGGTTGTCTAGGTCTGGCATCTAGGAAATACTCTGGCTCTAACTTCATAGGCCTTCTCTTTCTTCTTCAAAATTGTTTTCAGGGCTTTGTTTAGGGGGTATGGAGGCTTAGAGGAAATATATAATAATGGCTTAATCTGATGGGCCTCATCTTTTAATGGAGAAACATGAAGTACACTCAGTTTGGGCAGAATTTTATAGCTGCTCCAATATAGTAACCACTAGCTACATATGGCAGTTGTGCATTTGAAATGTAGCTAGTCTGAACTGAGATATACTGTGTGAAATACAGTTTTTCAAAGACTTAGTATGAAAAAGATATAAAATCTCAATAATTTTGTCTTACACGAGCCCTCTCCTTTCTTGTATGTTAGGATGCTCCCTTCTACTCAGCCCCCTTTAGACTTTCTGCTTTGAGCAGGTAGTATGGTACACTTTGCCACCTAAGTGTACCATCATGATACTGTAGGGAGCCAAAATATTGTTTCTCTGTTTCTAGAGCTGCTGGTTCCACTAGTGCTGAGAAATTACTAGGGTCTCTAAAATAACAAAACAACATAGTTGGTACAGTTTAGTTAGTACCAAAGTAGAGAGAATTTTTAGTTCCTATAGATGTGATAAATCAGTATTACTGGTTTCCTAGTATTTTACAATACCAAATGAAAACCATCCTTCTCTACTTCAAAAAAATGAAATACTAAATCATCTTTATATTTATGGTTGTCTAGGTCTGGCATCTAGGAAATACTCTGGCTGTAACCTCATAGGCCTTCTCTTCCTTCTTCAAAATTGTTTTCAGGGCTTTGTTTTAGGGATCTAGAGGCTTAGAGGAAATGTATAGTAATGGCTCAATCTGATGGGCCTCATCTTTTAATGGAGAAACATGAACTACATATATTTCTCTCAATATATACACTTAAAAATCAAATTGTGTCACTAGACTTATTAATGAAAAACAGCAGACCCTACCCTGCCCTCTACACTCTCAGGTACACTTTTTAAAAAAAAAATGTTAGCTATCTCTTTTGGGATTTATCTCCGTATTTCTAAATAGCATGTTTATACTACTTGTTCTTATTTCTTTTGTTTGGGCTATTCTTTTTCTTCCTGCTGTTGGAAATGATTCTAATGCCTTTTCATAAACACATTAGTTCCCTATTGCTCAATTTATCTATTTCATACTATTTAGATAAATCATTTTTCATTATAGACAGTACCCCAAAAGTTGCCCCTAAAGTCACCATACATAAAGAAAATGGGAAATACAACTAAATGTATCTTTAGTTACAAAATATCCACTATAAAATTTTTATAAAATATTCTCTGTTGGCTACCTCTTTATAAAATTTTATAAAGTTACATTTAGCTACAATTTCCCATTACTTTTGGGATACTCCATAGAATAAAGTTGTACATGGTATTCATAGTTTATCCAATTAGCATAACACAATTACACTTCCTTTCTTTTGATTTAAGTTAACCATTTGCCTCTTTCTCCATGCAAACTTTATTAAGTATCTAACATTCAAGTATCTAATTAATTTATCCCAAACTCTCAAAACATATCAGGTAATCTATTTTTTACACTGAAGACGCCTCTCCAGCAGTCTATAACCCTTCTTCACTCTGGACTAGCTCTTCTCTAAGCCTACTGCACTGCTTTTCTCTTAGGGTAATTTTATTCTTTCCCCATTTTCTACATGTTTTTCTGAAAGATTTCCAACTTCCAGTTCTGAATTTTAAAATTTGTTATCATGTCTTAAATCTACTAGAGCACTTTCTTGTCCACCCTTTTCATTTTTAAAATATTATTTTAAATTTTAAAATTGTATATTGACAAGTTATAATTGCATATATTTATGGGGTACAAAGTGATTATATGATTCATATATACAGTGTGGAAAGCTTCAATAAAGCTAATTAGCCTGTTACCTCATGTTTGTGTGTGTGTGTGATAACATTTGAAATTTACTCTTAGCAACTTTGAAATATACACAGCTGTTCAATGTATCTCAACAAATTTATTACTTAAGCTTAAGTGAATCTTTGTACTCTTTGACCAACATTGCCCCATTTCACCTAACACCCTCGCTCCCCTACCATCTGGTAACACACCATTCTATTGTCTGATTCTATGAGTTTGATGTTTAAGATTCCATATTTAAGTGGGATCAAGTGGTATTTGTCTTTCTGTGCTGGTAATTTATTTTACTTAGCGTAACATTCTCCAGGGAGGCACTGTCTTATTTGTCTCCCACCCCCTTTTTAAATAGCATTTGTTTCTTTTGGGGGGGACGCTGTGCAATCTTATTTCTCTGACAATATTTCTAATGTTTTGCTGCCTTTTTTTTTTCTTTTTTGAGACAGGGTCTCACATTGTCACCCTGTGCTGCCACAGCTCATAGCAACCTCAAACTCTTGGGCTCAAGTGATTCTCTTGCCTCAGCTTCCCTAGTAAGCTAGAACTACAGTTCCTGGCCACAATGCCAGGCTACTTTAAGAGATAGGGTCTGGCTCTTGCTCAGGCTGGTCTCAAACTCCTGAGCTCAAGCAGTCCACCCACCTCGCTCTCCCAGATGCTAGCATTACAGGCATGAACCACTCTGCCTGGCCTTTCTTTTGCTTCTTGAATTGTGGTATTGAGTTTTTCAGTTTTTGTTTCTGTTCTGTGTTGGAAGATTTTAAATTTCTGGAGATCCCTGGTTATCCATTCAGGATCATCCTTACACTCTTCTGTGTAAGAGTGAGGCATCAGAAGCTGAAAGCTCTGTGTTCATGGATAGGGCTTGTTGCCTTGGTGGTACAGTGGTGAGTGTAGCTGCCTTCCATAGTCAGGGCTTGCAATTAGTAGCACATTCTGCGGTCTTCTTTCAGACTTTTGGTTGTGAATCCATTTGGTAGTTTGTGAAATCAAATTAGTTGAAACCAACATTTTTGCCCCAAATGACAGAGCAAAATAGAAAATACTGCATCAGAGCATATCACACATAAAGAGGGAATTCTTTTGTGAAACTTGTCACACACACATAAAACAACATATATAAATATTATGCACTGGGTTGATCCCTTAAAATGGAAATTTCTTATTGTGTTTTTTCAAAGAAATTTGAAAAAGCACCACTTAGGATAACCAAGATCTACTACTGTCAGGACAGGTAGGTCTTTTATCTTAAAGAGGGAGGTAAGTTTTTCTGGAGAAAAATTCTCTAAACTTCTGCCTGTTGGTCTGGTAGTACTCATTCATTCAAATATTTGTTGAGCACTTTCTATGTGCTAAACACTGATGGAGGTAGTGGGTACACATCAGTGAACAAAAGAGCGAAAACTCTCTGCCCCTTAGGTATTATGCTATGGTGACACAGTAACAGAGGGAAAGCTAAATATATGCATACAGATGCTGGTAAGAGGGTAGATGTGGTAGTGGTGGATTACTTCATGAAAGAAGTAGAAAGCGGGAGGGGCTGGGGTCTCGGTGTGTGACACACCTTTTGGGGGCAAAGCACAATTGTAAGAGGGACTTTACCTAACAAATGCAAGCAGTATAACCTGGTTTCTTGTACCCTCAATGAATCCCCAACAATAAAAACAAAACAAACAAACCCCTTAGAGCCTATATATATATATATATATATATATATATACATCTTAAAAAAAAAAAGAAAAAAAGAAAGAAGTAGAAAGCAAGGTCATCATCTGAGAGTGAGAATGTAGAAGGAGGTGTTGGAAGCTTAAAGAGAAAAGGTGTGAAATAATGTAGGATACCGCACAGGAAACCATAGCCTACAGCTAAAACCTGTTTTTGTACAGTCCACAAGCTAAGGATAATTTTTATACTTTTAAATGATTGGGAAAGAATCAAAGATGATATTATATCATGCCATGTAAAAATTTTATGAAATTCAAATTTCATTACTTATGGCTACTTTCATGCTACAATATGGAGTTGAATAGTTGCAAAAGAGATCATGATCTGCAAAGCCAAAAGTATTTATTTAGTCCTTTACAGAAAAAGTTGGCTGACCACTGATCTGAGAGAATAGGAAGGTGATTGGACTAGGAAAATGTGATTGCCAGCATTAAGGGCCTCACGGTTATGGAGGTGAGCCTAGTCGATGCAGCATGATCACAAAG